CTTGAGTGCTTAGCAAACCTCCCAAGTGCTTCCATAACTCAATAGTGTACGCTGTGGTGTTTACCATTTGTTTTATAACATAACATTGATACATTGTGGCTAAAGAGTTCTCTTTTATTTACAAATCTTACGTGACCAGAAAAAACAAGCGTGCGCGGAAAACGTCTTTGCATTTGCTCACGTCAGCAGCGTACACCCATGGGCAAATGGGGAACGCTAAATCGACCAATCAGAGCGCGCGCTTTACTTTGGTTATGTCATAAATTTAAATGTAAAAAAGTCCTCCGTTCTCTTTGTCCTACATGTTTGATTGTTTCGGAAGAGATCGTACTTTTGTGTTTTCTGCCTTAAGTTGTAATTAGGTGCTTGCAAGAGTGGGCTAGGGAGCAGATGGTGCAGCGGGTGGCTGGGGGACTTATATGGAACGATTTCAAATGAGAGTCGAAAACAATCTGAGATTGGTTTGGTTTTACAGAACTCAGCTCTCAGATTGATCCAGAAAACTCATGCCATCCTTTCCACTAATCAGATGTAAAACTCAAACAATTGAGACTTGGTCACCCCTCTGGAAGTCTGCTTGTTTTCACGACGTGCTCTGATTGGCTAACGATAATGTTAACCTTCTTATTTGTCGCTGTGATTATAGTTGTTTTGGGTTCTTCGACACTTAAATGGGAACTACTCTTAAGTAACCAAGTCGCCAAGTCCTTTGATGCTTGTTACGAGGTTCGCTTAACTTATGGTGTGGAGATTTGAACTGTTGTTGTCAATGTTTATACATGCATGGTTTTTGGTAGGGTTCTGGTAAATGTCAATTTTTCATGTATATGTGTCGGTACGTTTATGTTGCGAAATTGTGTTAAAAATTCGTCAACACTTAGCCAGTGTACAAATGCAAATCCTAAGCTTATCTAACAGGTAAACCCTCACTTGTACAGTGCTAAGCACAGGTAGGAACTCACTCAAAGACTGCCTTAGAATGGATCCTCAAAATATTATGAAAAATAATCTAATAAATTCTTTTCTTTCGTGCATATCAAAAGTTTCAAAAAATTGGTGTGTAAGTTTTTGCTTCGCAATTAAACACATCAGCAGAACTTTTATTTATCCAATAGTGTCGTGTGACTGTTTCTGCTTGTAGGAAACGTTTGCCTTGAGGAATGTAAGAATGGACGAAATTGCAGAGAATTCGGAAAATACCTTTGCCTATGTCCAAAAGGGAAAGCAGGTCAAAATTGCAAAGAAAATGGTAAGTTGAGCAAAGATAAACGATGGCGGGCGAGGATTTTTGACAAATTGCTTAGCGAGAGGTCGATAATTGAGACTGAAAGGTGCGAAGGAGGAGGGAATTTATGTTTACCGGAAGTGCAAGTCTCAACAAATGCATTGTTAAAGTCAGTGGTCTTACAGTCCCTGATGGAGAGATAGCTTCTAAGAATTCGTAACGATAATTTATTTAATTCTCATCCTGGTGTCCGTCGGCTGTTCCATGGAGTTGTTGTTATTTCTACTCGTTGGTGTTTGGATGAGAATGCCCAAAATATTCTAAGAAGTTCCCTTCGTGATGACAACGATATAGGTCAGGAATATATTGAGTATAAAAAACCATCAGTAACTGAAAAATCAGAGTGGTATGAGGGAACCACTTTTTGTTTTCGTTTCAATTTCGCTGCTTAATTTGTTAGTAGGTGATGAATGTTGTACTCACAAACGTCTTCAGACAATCAAGTTTGCAATTTCGTTTCCTTTTCCTTCAATAGACACAATGACGGTTTTTATTATGATCAGCCTTAAAATTAATAATAAAAAGTGGAAAGAGGAACTTACCGACTTGTCTGACTTAGATACACAAGGGTTTGTTGGAGTAATCGTAGATTCGGTAAGTCTTTTAAGTTGTTATAATTTTGAAAAGGTACGGAATATTTAGTTAAGATTAGTAAACAATCCGATATTTTCCATCAAACAATACCCTACAGTATCTTGCTATATTTCCTCTTTTAACTCCCGAAGTAAACCAGAAGGGAGGAATTTATGTTAATCCCCCTTGCTCTGAAAAGAAAAACTTTATCTCACGCAACTGAGGTTGATCCAGTCTAAACATTGCCAAAGAAATGGAACTCGTATTGAAATCAAGGCACGACAAAGTGAGAAGTATTTTATGTAAAGAATGAAAGATTTCTCTTCTTCTAAATTGTAATTAGCAAATCAAAACATCCTTTGTAAATTGAGGGTCCATCTCCAATGCCGGGTGCAGTAGAACCTCATCCTTTCTCGACCAGACTGACCTATCATTGGAATATCAATGCTTTTTAGGTGGATGAAGAATTCAAAGGTTCCGGCGTCAGAGAAGTTAATGTGACACGGCTGAGGTATCATCATTCATTGATGAAAAAATCGACTTACTCTTTTTTAGATTTACTTTTGTTTATGTTTCTGGTTAAATTACTCCTTAAAACATGAACTTTTATGACTTATTTTATTTGCAGAGAGGGAAGTGTCATTGCAGACATATCGCTCACATTTGGCGAGCCTGTTGGAGAAAGTGAAGTAGAATCATTTCTACAAGATGCGGTTAATGATGGAAGCCTTGGTACTCTAAAAGTAGATACTTTCGCCGTAGGACCAAGTCTTCCAGGTGTGTATAAACTTTCAGCTACGGTAAATTCCGGTGTAACCAACGGAAGTTGAGACTCTAAATAGCGGATTTGTGGTACAGACGCGTTACTTCTGTGATAGAAATTCTAGGAAGTTACGCTCTTAACCTAAGCTCGTGTGACAAAGATGTTAAAACTGCTACGTTGAATAGGATTTTGATGGTCTTGAACAGTGGGTGTACAATGAGCACAATATTTGGTTACACGGCTGATGCAAAATAGAGAAAGTTTATGAGTTCTTTACATGTTATGGATTGCACATACATGGACACAGCCGTTTTTAATGTCATATTTGTTTAAGATCTAGTCACGGTTCCCGGTCCAGTTCCATCAGAACCAACAAAGGTGAATAAAGATGTTATTTACGGCTCAGTTATTGGGGTCCTTGGCCTGATTCTCGCTGTCATTGCCGTTTTCCTTGCCTAGAAACACCGCAGGCGTAAGTAGACTTAATTACTTTACTCAGTTGTTTAATATTCTGATACGAGAAGCTAGTTACTGAGATGTATGAATTCTGGACGGTCGATAAAGAGACATTCGATTGAAGAAAATAAAGGAAACTAAGAAAGGAAAAGGACAGAAAAACAGCAATGGATCGGACAACTTGCAACAGTGTAAATGTTTCTGAAAATCTTTCAGTTCATGACATCAATCACCAATTTTTATTCGATGTTATTATTACTACCTAAAAGTGCTCACAAGTGAAGGAACTTCAATTGCGTCAATTATTGATGAGGATAAATATATGTTGCAGTTGTTTTCTCTTTATCTGATATCATTTCTTAATTTTTTTCCACACTTCTTAGGTGAAAGAGATGATCGGTAAGATGGCATTAATATAAAAAGCTACTTATGTGGCAGCATCCGTAGATCCGAATAGCAGAAAGCGTACTGTGCTTGTATTTATGGTCATTTGAAAACTTTTAGTTCTTATCATTCGGAGAAGTTTATTTTTGTTTAATTTAGCCTGATAAAAGTGTGTGGCAGTTTGAGAAAAAACTGAGTTTAACAGATTCCGTATAGTTACGTTGCACGAGGAACCAATGTGGTTCAGTTGATATTTTGCACAAACAAGTGTTTCTGAGATTTACGGGGATAAGTGTCCTTGAAAATAAGTCTAGCGTTTGATTTTCTTTCAGACTTAATGCAGGTACTAGGAGGTCACCTACTCTTAAAATTGTAAGTATGGTGTGCATTTTTTTCAGAGTACCCCACTCTATGATGATCAGCAAATATCTAGCCAAGTGCATAGTAATGATTTATCTTAGCCATGCCTTAATACTCTCGTGAATCAGGTGAAGTTTGGATCAAGAAGTCAGATTGCACTTTGCCGACAGATTACCAATATTCCCAGAAATTGGTTATGCATTTACGCGCCAAATCGTCTTGATACTAATTCGCAAGTGCTTGACGAAGGGGCATTAAAGTTAGCGAATGTCAGGAAACTTAAAGGGGAACTGAAGCCTAAAATTGGTATATTGTTTGCATTCATTTCTAGTTAGCTTTAGAGGAGTAAGATAAATTGTCTATATTCATTTTCGTTCACTTCTTGTTTTCTTACGAGAAAATTCGATTTGAAGTTTCCTTTTCCCCGCTTTTGGGGCTATAAAACCGTAGGCTCAAAGTAGGTCAGCAGTGATCGTTTATGACGTCAGTGGTGGGAACCAACAGAAGAAAAACAAGTGTTACTATTTCATTTTCGTAGTTAATCCCCATTACAACTCAGGCAACTTCGATAACTCCATAACCAAACCAAATTTCTGTAGGAAGAGTACGGGTTTATTATCTTTCTTCCCCACCAGCGACGTAAGAGCGAGCTAAATGACCGCTGACATCGCTTTTCTGAGTCGCCGTACTACGAGGCCAGAATACCACTTTAAACTATTATTCCGAGGCGAAGTTGGGCCCAAAGACTGAAAAAAACCCTCGAAAATTGCTATTTGAAATATAAGCTGCAATTTAAAAATGGTTCATTTTTAGGCTTCAGCTAAATTCCCTTTAAGGATTCCCTTTAAGGATTCCCTTTAAGGAATCTTCCAAAGCATATTTTCAAGAAAAAGATAACAACAATATCATTTCAAAATCTTCAAGTTCAGGATAGTTATGTTGACGTAGAACGAATAATCAATTATGTGTCGAAAGTTAAATCTAGTTAATAGTAGTGTCTAACTTATGTATTCTTCCATTTATTGTCGTGTGTGTCTGTTTCTGTATTTTTATCTCATACTGTCATTTGTGCTTTACTGATTTAATATTTAATTTCTGTTTCTAGTATATTTATTAAATCTTTTGTTGAGCCGAATTTTAATTTAGATGTTTTAGCGTCCACACACTATCCGCCGAGACTAGCTGTGTCATGTCATGTCTGATTACAATATGTAATCAAAAAAATCTTGTATAATTAGGATAACAGCTTCAAAAACCTCTTCCTTGTTAATCAGCAATTATCATTGGAGAGGTAACGGTTGTGTTTGACTTTCCTATATTCTGGATTGGAAAACGATGAAACGAAAATAAAGAAAAGAACGTATTATACCATGAAATGGACAATGTTCCCAATCTTTATGGGAAAAAACCATGCTAAACTAAACGTGACTTTCGTTTCGCTGGAAAACAGAACGAGGGATTTGAACTGGAAAGCATCAATGGAAACCTTAGCACCGTCGCGCATCATGGCCCAGGACATTACATGGACGTGAATGAAGTTAGATCACTGAATGGACCTGCCACAGACCCAACAGGAAGCTATTTAGAAGAAAACGAATATGCTCCCCTGCATCCAGGAACCCGCTCGTGGGAAGTGGAAAGAGAAAACGTTACAATTGAAAAGGTGATCGGAAAAGGTGCCTTTGGTCAAGTCGCTCAAGGAAAAGCTTCAAACCTACGAGGAAGAGAGGAGACAATAACAGTTGCCATAAAATTGCTGAAAGGTACTCTATTTATTCTCTTAATTCTGTTTTAGTTTAGATAAGGCTTAATTCTTACAGGGCAGTCGTCCTCTGCTTTAGGTAACGCCAGAGATTTAGAGAGGAAAGATTTGCTGTCAGAGCTTGAAATCATGAAGAAACTCAAGCCCCATCCTCACGTCATCAAATTGCTGGGATGCGTCACTAAATCAGGTGAAGGAAATAAAATTTTGAAACTTGTCAGTTTATGTCTGCTCGTATCACCCAGACAACTAAAGTATGAAACATAGTTAGGATTCGATGCTCAAACTTACTTAAACTGACATAGTTTATGATTTATTGCTCTCTCGCTGCACCTAATTCCGTCATTGTTGATGCCACAGCATTGACGAAGGGCGTTTGTACCATGTGAACCAAGTAAATAATGAGTTTTCGCTACGAGCTCCCTTCAACTTGCATGATTTTAGTGTATTTCTCCGGTTTAAAAGACCCTGGTTTGAACCTTAAATACCTCTGCATAAGGTTGA